TTATGGCCTCAAAAACCAGCAGGGACTGAGTCAGTGGAAGGAACTACTGGAGCCCCAAGCAGTTCCTCTTAAAGAACCCACACAGGACTCACTTACTCAGACTGACTCCCTCTGAGCTCCGGCTGGGGTGGCAGCTTGAGGGACACCAGTGGTGGGCAGGGGGAGGCTGAGGTGTCTGGCATCAAGGTGAGAAGAGGCCATTGTCCCCTTTCTGAGCCCTCCCCCCACATATCCAGCCATATCTGAGACTCCATCAACCTGGCTAACACTGTCTGACCTGCCTTGAAGATCCCCAGACTGCCCCACTCAACTTGGTGGCACATCCAAGCTGCTTTTCCGTAGGAATGACTGTTCTTGGCTCCTGCTTCACAGCATCCTAAGTCAGGGGTGTCAAACTCACTTTCACCAGGGGCCACATCAGCCTCGTTGTTGCCTCCTCAAAAAGTCCCAATCTTAGGACTGTATAAATGTAACTACTCCTTAACAGTTCAGTGAGAGCTCAGTGCTGCCACTGGCTAGAACGTAGGTGCCAGGCTGGAAAAAACAAGGTGGAGGGCCAGATTTGGTCCGTGGGCCTTGTGTTTGCCACCTGTATCCTAAATCTTCTCAAACAAGCAGGCCTCAGTGAGTCAGCCCGCAACTAGCAGCTGAATGCACAGTTTGGCTCACCTGGGAATCTCCAAGCCCAGCACAAGTAGCAGCCATCTCAGATTGCTTTATAGCTCAGGCAGGGCGGGCCCAGGCAAAACAAAGGTCGGGGCAGACCTTGACCTTGGCCTGCACCACCCAGGAAACCCCAGGGCCAGTGCACCCAGTGGACGGCAACAAACCACTTTGGAGAACCACTACCCTGCCCCTGCACAGATGATCCTCCATGGAGGGCGGTGGTTGGTGATCATTGGTCACAGCCAGTCCTTGCAGCTGATTGGCCCGGGGAAATTTCTCCCATTGATCTGCCAACAGCAACCAAGGCTCAACTACAAGAGGAAGGTGTATGCAGCCCACGTGAAGGGCGCACCTCAAGTACCCAGCTTGGGTGACAGCTTGGGAGGCTGTGCCACTGGACCCTACAGGACACCTACTACATTAGGCCACACGACCAAGACACGGAGTCAAAGCAGCTCTGCCTAATACACAGAAACAGACACAGGGAGGCCGCCAAAACAAGGAGACAAAGAAACATGGTCCAGATGAAAGAACAGATCAAAACTCCAGAAAAAGAGCTAAAGGAAATGGACATAGTCAACCTATCAGATGCAGAGTTCAAAACACTGGTTATAAGGACGCTCAAGGAACTTAGTGAGTATCTCAACAGCATGAAAAAGATCCAGTCAGAAATGAAGGATTAACTAATTGGAATAAAGAACAATTTACAGGGAATCTACAGTAGACTGGGTGAAGCTGAGAATCAAATCAATGATTTGGACCATAAGCAAGAAACAACCAGTCAGAACAACAAGAATAAAAGAATCCAAAGAAATGAGGACAGGGTAAGCAGCCTCTGGGACAACCTCAGGCGGTCCAACATCCACATCACAGGGGTGCTGGAAGGAGAAGAGAAAGAGCAAGAAATTGGATATCGCCCCAACTGGTGTGTCTCAGTGGACTGAGTGCTGGCCTGTGAACCAAAGGGTCACCAGTTCGATTCCCAGTCAGGGCACAGTCTGGGTTGCGGGCCAGATCCCTGGTAGGGGGCACATGAGAGGCAACTGCACATTGATGTTTCTCTCTCTGTCTTTCTCCCTCCCTTGCCCTCTAAAAATGAATAAATAAAATATATTAAAAAAAAAGAAAAAGAAATTGGAAATCTATTTGAAAACTAATGAAAGAAAACTTTCACCGAATTTGGTGAAGGAAATAGACATTCAAGCCCAGGAAGCACAGAGAGTCCCAGACAAGTTGGACCCAAACAGGCCCACCCCAAGACACATCATAATTAAAATTACAGATAAAGAGATGGGAGGGGTGCGGGGGAATGGGTGAGAGGGGAGGGGATTCAGAGGTACAAATAGGTAGCTGCAGAGTAGCCGGGGGAGGTAAAGTGCAGGACGGGAAAAGAACTTTCCCACACTGCACTCCGCAGCCAAAGAACTTACATGCGTGACCCATAAACGTGAACAATGATGGGGGACTGCCTGCAGGAGTGGGGGGTGCTGGGTGGAGGGGGCGAAGGGGCGAAAGTCAGAACAACGGTAATAGCATAATCAATAAAATGTAATTTAAAAAATCGGGGGACCCGAGAGTACTCGAGCACTGCCCCCACTGCCGGGGCCTCCCAAGGTGCCCCGGGCCTGGCACGAGAGGGATGCCCGCTCCCTCCCCGCCAGCGCAGGTGGTGTCAGTCTCCCCAGTTCTGGCCAGCGGGCAGAGCAGGAGCTTGTACACTCGCTGACCCCTTAGAAAGCTGAACGCTGCCCTGTGGTCCTTGGCCAGTGTACGGACTGCCTGTCGGCGCTCCTTGCCCACTTTCCGGTTAATCTTTCTGTGTGGCAGGAACCCCCTGCACATTCTCAATGTCACTCCTGTGCTCTGTGGGGCTCTTTGGCTCCTAGGCTGTCCCAGTGTTCACCTAGTTTTATTGTCTTCGGTCTGTAGCAGCCCCTCAAGCTGAGCCCTCAAAGACCAGTCAGGTGGGGTGCAGGCCAGTGGAAGAGCTGGGCCGAGGGCAGGTGAGGCCCAGGCCTGCCCTCCCGGAGGGCAGCAGCAGGGGTCGGAAGTCGACCTCTGGGGGCCAGGTGGCTTTTGTCCTGGTCCAACCTTGTGGGGGATGGGCAGGTGGTAGGATGTCCCCACCTTCTGACCTGGTTCTGCCTACTTCCCACACTGACCTTGCCCAGTCCTGCCCCCGATGGCCCGCCTTCCTTCTGAGACCCCCAAATCCACCTGCTGGTTTGACAGTTCAGAGGGTGGAGCTCAGACAGGTGGAGCCACCCGGCCCGAGTCCCACAGCTGCTGAGCAGCTGACTGGACCCAGTGTGTCTGGTACCAGGCTCGCTGCTCCCGGGCCCGGCCATCTGCTGCAGCCCCGCACCCACCACGGGCCCTGTGGGCCCTGCAGGGGCAGCGGGGGCTCGGGCCAAGGAGGATCTCCGAGTGGTCAGTTAACGAGCCCCTCTCCTCAAGCCCTGCCCTCAACCCCTTCTCACTCACAGATGACCTTGAAAATGGACGCCATCAGAATACACTTTGCAGACTCACCTTCCCCTCAGCCCTCCCTGCCTCCATGCCCAACACTCTTCCACCCACCAAGAAGTGTCTATGCCCCCAGCCCCACTCCCAGGTGTGGTGGGCCCCGTCCCCGATGGCCTCCTCAAGGTCACTAATTGCTTCAACAGGTCTTTCCTGTGTCATTAGCATTTTGCCCATCACTGGGCCACATGCCTGAACATACACAGCACACTACACAGACACACACGTGCACATGAAGCTGCCCACACCTGAAGGGCACATGCCCACACGTGACACACGAACTGCACACAGATGCACACGTGTTAGTCCCACTCCGGCGTTCTGGAACCCTCTCTCTCTCCAGCCCCCAGCTCTCTCCAAAACCCAACCCTCCCCAGAGGGGCCCCCCTGCACTCCATGACCTTTATAAAGGGCCCCAGAACCTGCGAGTCGCCAAATCCTCTTGAGCCCCACTGGTGGCCCTCGGCCCAGCTGACCACTCGCTCCTTCTCAGGACACCTTGGCTTCGGGAGCCCTGTGCTCTTGGACTTCCCAGCCCCACCCTCCCCTCTGGACCCCCAGGGCTCCAGGGCCCAGCTCTGGCCTCTGAGCCTTTGCCCCTCTGTCTCTTTGTGTCTCGCTTCCAACTCGACCCCCAGATGTTTCTCAGCAGACCCAGCTTCTCCCTCAACGTGGCTGACAGGCAACTTCAAAAACACCCCATGCCCTGCTCCCCCTCATCCTCCCAGGCGCTCAGCCCAACCTGCAAGGCCTTCTGGCCTGTTCCCTTCCCCTCACACCACCCCAGGGGTCACTGTCCACACAGAACTCAACTGCTTCCTCCTTACCACACTGGGGAAAACCTAAGCCAGCCCACACCGCTCCTCGCTCGCAAAACAGCATGCCAAGGTCAAAGGTCAAACCCAGACCTAGAAGGCGGAGCTAGTGAGCAGCCTCTGCTGAAGGGTGGTCGTGCCCCCAAGGCCTCCTTAATCTCCTTGGGGATTACTCACTCCCGCCCTAGGGAATCTGCACACCCTACCCTGCACCCCCCCACTCACCTGGGCACAGACCCCACCTCGGACCCCACCATGGACCCCACGAGCTGTGGGCAGGGAGGCCACGCACCTGCCCGGCACAGAGGACAGTCCCCACCAGCGGAGGACTTCAGCAGAGACTGTGCGCGACCCGGAGCGGCATGTACCCCAGAGGACGAGTCTACAGGTGACCTAGGGTGGAAGAGACAAACTGCCAAGAGTGAGGCCTGGCTGCCACCATGATGGAGTGTGGCAATGTCGGCGGCCCCGTGGGAAATGCCCAGGGCAGGACGGACCCAGGGACCTTCAGGTTTCTCCACATGCTGTCTCTCTCCCTTTTTTAAAGATTTTATTTTATTTATCTTTAGAGGGGAAGGGAAGGAGACAGGGAGAGAAACATCAATGTATGGTTGCCTCTCATGTGTCCCCTGCTGGGAGCCAGCCTGCAACCCAGGCATGTGCCCTGACTGGGAATCGAACCTTGAGTGCGGTTCACAGGCCTGCACTCAATCCACTGAGCTACACCAGCCAGGGCCCATGTGTTGTCTCTTAAATAGGACCCTGGGGTGCCAGGCATTGAGCAGGACATGACTCACTGACTGACTTTCAAACGCCCTCTGCTCCACCCCAAGCTCTTCACCCCGTGTGATTTTCCCTGACCGACCTTTGCCACCTCCTGTTGCCATTCCCAGACCTTTGCTCCAGCTGTGCCCTGGCCAAGGTGCCCTCCCCTCCCTCCCTCCCCCCGGTCTTTCTGGCAAAGTCCATGTCCACTGAGGCCCTCCAGGCAGCAGAGGCACAGGGGCAGCTTTGACTTTTAGGAAGAGGCTTTTGGGAACCCCAGCAAGGAGGGCAAGTGGAAGGGGGAGGAGGAGGCCACAAGAGGTGGAGGGAGACCTGTCCCGAGGGCGGCTGTGGCTTTGAGCTACAGGTCATTCGCCTAAGCCACCACCTCCGTAGGATATGTCCCAGGGCCTGGTGCTCTCCCAGGCCAAGTGTCAACCCAAGGACCTCCATGGATCATACTCAGAGACTCCCCAGAACAGGACAGCTGCAAGGAAGTATAGGGAAGCTGCCACCTGGAGGGGGGAGGTCATTGACACCAAGGTGATGCAGAAATGGAGCTCAGCTGCCAGGTAAGTGTTCCCCACTGCAGTCCCCAACCCGGACCTACAACCTAGCACATCTGGTGGTTGTCACCGGCCCTCTGAGGTCAGGTGTGGGGCCTGCAAGGCCACAGTGCACTGAGGTGATGCAGAGCTTGGGGCGGGCTATCTGGTAGGGTCTCAGCATGACCTCTGATTTGCACAATCGGTGCCCAAACTTCGGACCCCTTGTGGGGAGGCTGGGGCCCATTCCACCACAGATGGCTGCTCCTCACTTGCAGGGTACCTTCTTGAGCCCCGATTTCAGGGCAGGTGAACAGCACCCATGTGACATGTGAAAATGAAGTGAAAGCAGGTACACTTAGCACAGAGACTGCATACAGCAAGTGCTCATAACTTGCTGCCTGTAGCCATTCATCCATTCCCTAAGCGGGGGCTCCTGTGTTCCTACCCAACCGGACAGAACGCGGGTCAGGACCCGTAGGGGTCACAGCTCCTGCATTTTCACCCCTCCGTGTACAGATTGTTTTCCTCAAGGTCACACACGGTCAATACAAAGGGGACCTGCAATACAACTCGGGGTGACAAGGAGAGGCCCGGTAAACGGACCCGGGGCGCCTATGAGCGCGCCCAGACTCCCACCCAGCGCCGGCGCGGCTGGCGGGGTCCAGATGCGCTCTCCCGCCCCGGCCGCCCACCGCCTAGAGCCTTTCCTCGCCGCCGTCGGCGGTTCCGGAAGCCCCGCCCACCAGTGCGCCCTCAAGTTTCACCGAACTTTTCCGCGGTCCCGCTGGGCGCCCCGCCCTCTGGCCGGTGACGTAACAATGGTGCAGCTCCACGACCAATGGGCGGTGTCGGGGGCCGGCAGCACGGGCCAATGGCGGTAGCCGACCGTCCCGCGGTCCTGCCCGGCTAGGGCCGGACTGCACCGCCCGCCGCCCGCCCGCCGCCGGCGCCCCGCACCGCCGCCCAGCGATCTGTTTGCGGCGGTTCAGAGTGCGGCTGCGGGGGGCGGCGGCGGCTCCTTCCCGTCAGTCCTGGGACCTTCGCCTCCGCGCCTACCCGCGGAGGGACAGCTCTTGCTTCGACCCGCAGCGGGGGCGGGGACGTCAGACTGTCAGCCTCACCGCCCCCCACGGTGAGTCCCCCTCACCTAGGTCTCAGCCCCAGCCCCGGGTGCTCTCCCCTGGCCGCCGCCCCCCTCACGCCCCCTGGGCACACGCACCCGCAGATGCAGCCCTCGCTGCGCTCACTGCCGGCCCACAGACACGCTGGCCTCGCTCCCGGCGACCCGAGGTCCCCCGTGCCTCCGGGAGGGGATTGGGAGGAGCGCACGGGCGGCCCGGGACGCGCCACCGAGCGCTCGCCAGCCCAACACCCCCAGTCACCCAGCCGCTGCCGTGACTCAGTGCTCAGTGACGTGGGGTGGCCCAACTTTACGTAACCCGCCCGGCGCCCCGCGATGTCCACACTGGGTACACCTGGGGCTCAGAGGCCCAGGCGTGGGGGACTGTGCTAGTCCTGGCACTCCCCAAAAGGGCGCTGTGACTGCAGCCCGTCCCCATCGCACTCATCTCTGTAACTTAGTCACTCAGACCCTTGTGTCCAAGGACTTCGCCTCGAGAGAAAACAGAGGGTACCTGGGGCCATGGTCCGAGGCCAGGGCTCAGGTTGAGGCCGGGGTCTCAGAGGGCAAGGTCTGGGCTCCCTGTGGGTTGGGGCACTCCAAGTGTGGAATGAGCCCAAAATGGGCGGCAGGAGATCCGGGTTGTAGGCCTGGCTCCACCCGGACTTGCTGACTGATCTTGGACAAGCTTGTCCCTTCCTGGAAAGTGGGGTGACAGGCCTGCTCTTCCAGTGGTGGGCGAGGTCAGGAGCGGTGGGCGACTCGGGATTTGCAGGCTGCTGTGTGCCGCACACCAGGCTCTGTGTTGACTCCGCTCACCAGTCTCCTCCCAGGAGCTTGAGGGGTGTGGACATCATGTAAACATCCCATTTGGGCGGGAGGCCAGAGTACCATCTCCACCCCCAGATGCATCCTGCTGGGGTTCCAGCCTGCATCCATCCCCCTTCTTTCTTACAGATGAAGAATCTGAGGCCCCAAGAAGAATAGACTCACATCTGCAGAACTAGGTGAGCTCCGTGCAGGAACCAGGTGCTTGTGAGGCTAGAGTTCTGCCCGGTCCTGCCTTTGGGGGGAGACTCTAGGGGTGGGGACCCCCCGCCGTGGTCCGGGGTCAGAGGACAGGGTCAAGGATAGGTAGGGCTGGGAAAGGTATCTGTCATACAGAAAGGACTGGGCTCAGCATGAGACGTGGGTGCAGTGTTCCTACTCCCTACCGGCTCTTTTCTCTAGTTGGGGTTGGGCTTGCCTGGCCCAGGTGGGAGCAGAACCTCTTCCCTTGCTCCCTGGGCAGGAGGGGTCTGGCCTCATCGGTGGGCGGGGCTGGGTCAGGCTATGGGCAAGTCTGAGTAAGGGCCTGTCCAGAGAAGAGGCCAGCGCAGTAAGAGCAAGGATGTAGGAGGCAGTTCAGGGTCCTGGAGAGAAGGTAGTTAGTTGTGAGAAGTGATGGGGAGGGCCTGTCCGAAGGAGGAGGTAGGTACACGGTCCGTGGGGCCCTGTGAGCGGGCACCAGGAATCCCTTCTAAGGCCCTCAGGTTTCCCCCATTGAGCCCAGTGGTGGGGTCAGGGTCCAGATGCCTCACCGTGGTCCCCTCCGCCTGTAGGTGGTGAGCCGCAGCACCCATGCTGTGAGGCTAGGAGTCATCCCTCTACCAGCATGCCGTGGGACGCTCAGCGGCCCGGGGGCGGTGCGATTGGTGGGCCTGAAGGCGGCAGCGCAGTGCGCTCCCGGTCGCAGAAGCAGTGCAGGAAATCCTCCTTCGCCTTCTACCAAGCTGTGCGTGACCTGCTGCCTGTGTGGCTGCTCGAGGACATGCGCGCCAGTGAGGCCTTCCACTGGGACGAGCGCGGGCGCGCCACTGCCTACTCGCCGTCGGAGGCGCTGCTCTACGCGCTCGTGCATGACCACCAGGCCTACGCACACTACCTGCTGGCCACGTTCCCGAGGCATGCGCTGGCCCTGCCCAGCGCCAGCTTCAGGTGCTGTGCTGCGCCTGGGCCGCACGTGGCGCTGGCCGTGCGCTACAACCGCGTTGGTATCCTGCGCCGCATCCTGCGCACTGTGCGTGACTTTCCGGCAGAGGAGCGCACACGCCTGCTCGACCGACGTGGCTGCAGCCGTGTGGAAGGCGGGGGCACGTCCCTGCACGTGGCCTGTGAGCTGGCACGTCCAGAGTGCCTCTTCCTGCTGCTTGGCCACGGCGCATCACCTGCTCTGCGTGATGGCGGCGGCCTCACGCCGCTGCAGCTGCTGCTACGCCGGTTGGATCTTGACTCCGGAGCCACCGCTGCCCCTGGGGGCGTACCCGCTGTACCTGGGGAGCCACACCAGCGCCTCCTACTACTGCTCGACTTGCTGGTGCTGTATGCGCCTGCGGGCATTGCTAGCTCAACCCGCCGCGAGCTGCTGGGTGACCAGCCACGCTGGCGGCGGCTGCTGGGCGAAGACAAGTTCCAGTGGTTAGCAGGCCTGGCGCCGCCCTCACTCTTCGTGCGTGCCATGCAGGTGCTGGTTGCATCCATCTCTCCCTGCCGCTTCCCGGAGGCCCTGGATGAGCTGTCGCTGCCGCCCTTCCTGCAGCCGCTGGACCTCACAGGCAAAGGCTAGCCCACGGGGCACCTTAGCACTGGATTTTCGGAGAATACTATTTTTCAAAGCGTTGTACCTAGCACTTTACATATATTGATCTCTACATTGGAATCTCTTTATCTGTTGCGTGCATGGAGGACGGGGCCAGGGCGGTCAGGTGGGCCCCAGGTGGAGGATCCATGGGTCTGGCTGGGCCCAGTATTCCACCGCACTGGGCAGAGCAGGGTTGAGCCTTGACCTCAGCTTCCTTCCCAGCTGGAGGAAGGAGTGGGGCGGGCGCAGGGATGTGGACCGGTGTGTCTAAGTAGGATGCACAGTAGTGCCAAGGCGTGGAGACCAAGAGCGCGCCCTTGGGTCTAGCGGGACCGTTGAGGCCACCATAGTGCCAGGCCTTGAGGCCACTGCGGCTCTGGCTGGTAGGGGGCAGGAGGCTGCGGTGCAACAGGGGGCCGGCATGGCCGTGGCTGGGCCTCCTTGGCGCTCCTGTCCCGTACTGGGCCTGCTCCTCCTTGGGTGTCGGTGTGACTGTCTGCCAAAGCTAGTCTACCCAGGCCTGGCCTCACCCCTGTCGCCCCTTTTTCTGCCTCCTGAGAATGAGCAAGCACCTAGCCCAGGGGCTCCAGGCCCCAGCTGCACTGCCCCTCAGGTAGGGTTAGATGGGCCCTGGTCCCGCCCCCAGTGGGTGTCAGACAGTGCTCATGGGTGGTGGGTGGTGAGTCACTCCATGGGAATGTTCCTTGCCCAGCCAGCAGAGCTGGTGTCTGCAGGAAGGTTCTGAAGGTGGAGACTGGTTAGTAGGCACATTGTGACCCTTAGAGATCGAGGGGTCACGGTTGAGAAGCAGGGTCTGGGCCTGAGGAGCCTGGGGGGCAGGGACAGTGGCCAGGCTGCACCGCCCAGGCGTTCCATTGGGCTGTGAAACCCAATCCATGACCGCAGGGGCTGGAGGCCAGAGTGTCCTGCCAGGAGCAGGGAGCTAAAGGTCTGGGTGGTGAAGAGCGACCAGCCTGGCTGGCGTGCCCACTGCCCACCCTGCCCCCAGTGTCCCTGACGGAGCACGCCTGGCCTGAGTGCCGAAGGGGCATTGGGCAGTGACCCATAGGCAGGAGGGTACAGAGGGGCCTGGGTAGCAGGAAAATCTTGCCTGGTTCTGGCCTGCACCTGCCACCTGTCTCAGGGTGACCTGGGACAAAACCTTATCTGGGGCTTCTGTGTCCTCATGTTTTTAAAGGGTTTTGGACCGTTTCCAAGCTCCCCGCCTGCCTCAAAATGGATGTGATCCCAGTTCCTGGGAGGTACGGGTGCTGGGTGCACAGCACAGTGGCTAATCCTGGATTCCAAGTGGGAGTGGGGGGCCCTCCCCTCCGGCAGTGTGTCCTGTGTCATTAAATAGCTTCTCTGAGCTGTGACTCTTGGGGGGGAGTGGACTCTCACATCTCCCAGCTTAAAACTCGGGGCATCGGGAGCCACTGGGTCTTCTAGTGGGTCCCAGGCCCTCATGGCCAGGGGTGCCATTGTGGGTGAGGGTCCCCTTGCTTCGGAGGAGATGGAAAGTGCCCAGAGCCTCCGGTCACAGTGGCTGCAGCGGCTGGGCCTGGGGAGACGCTGGGGAACCGGGAGCCCTGCCGCCCGGAGCCTGGCGGAGGACCTGCAGACGTCTCACGTCTCCCCGGCCTGTGAAGTTGGCCCGGGGCCCAGGACCAGGGCTTGTTCCACTCCCCCTCCAGGCCTACAGCTGCCCCTTTGGCGACAACTTCCTCTGAGCTCCCTAGGAGGTTGTTGGGGACGGGCTGACACTGGGGTTGGGGAGTTGCCCGGCCTGGAAGGGGGACAGGACACCTATTGTCAGGTGGCAGGAGGTGGCACCCTGCTGGTCCCAGCAGAGAAACTGTGGGGGCCACAGAAGTGGGGGGGTCAGGGCCGAAGTGGGGTGGTTTGGATGGGGGGCGGGCAGGGGTCTGCACCATTATTCACTGGTTGACCTTGGGGCCATCTGAGGACCCCTTGGAGGGGTAAGAGGGCAGGAGGCTGGCAGTTGGGACATTAGTCCTTGATGCCCTCACTGGGTGGGTGGGATGGGGTGGGGGAAGCTACAGGAGGCTGCTGAGAGCAGCGGGGAAGGCGGGGGGAGAGGCCAGGCCGACGTCACAGCCCTGTGACAGCCGAGCGGGGCCTGATTCCTGGCGTGGCTCCCACCGAGCCTCTCGGGACTGGTGCCTGGCTCGGTGAGATAAGAGTTATCTGGTGGCCGCTGCTGGCCCAGAGAGGGAGGTGGGCCCCAGCTGGGCTTATCAGACTCCTGGGCCCTTGAGCCCCAGAAAGGGCAGCAAACACAGTTACCCTGGCGACCAGCGTGTTGAACTGGGGAGGCCGGAGTCGGCCAGGCCCAGCCCAGGGGCCCTTGGCAGATACCAGCTCAGCTCCTGGCCACTGGCAGGCGGTCCGCATGGCTTCACAAAGGCCCTGCCCTCAACAGGCCCACTTTCCTCTGTGGCAAAGTGCGCAGGTTCATCCGTTCCTCAGGTCTCTCAAAGGAAAACTGACGGTGGCCCATACTGGCCACGCCACGCCCACGCGTTAGGGCCTGGGCCTGAGTCTGTACCCTACACACCTACTGATATTGTGACCTCACACCCAGAGCTCAAAAGGGACACGACAGGACATTGCGCGCTGCAGCGGAGGCCTGGGGGGTGCATGGCCAGGACGGCAGGGCCCCGGCTGTCCCTCCTTTGGCCCTGGTGAGGACCCTGTGCCCAGCCTCGCTGCGCCAACTTTGCGGGACACCCTCATTCCAAGGTTACCTCGGTTCTCCTGCCTTGATTTCCCTCCCGCTTTCTTCACTCACTTTGAAAGTCTCGTGTTGCGAGCAGTTTCCTGAGCTGCCCCAAGTCGAATGCAGAACACGGCGGCTTCCTGGAAGCCTCAGGAAGAGGTGACAGCGCCGCCACAGGCCGCGCCCGTTTGGGCCAGAGGAGAGTGTGACCCGTGACCGAGCAGCCCCGTAACGCCTGGGTCTGGCTTCTCTTTAAAATGGAGGCGCAGATGACGTGTGATAAATGCAGACGTTGCGTGTGTGGTTTGAGGGGTTATGACAAATGTGTCCCCAAGAGTAGCATAGCCACCAGCCCCATCGAGACCGGTGAAGAGGGAGATTTCTGCCCGCGGGGGTTTACGGAGAATTCCGGGTACTGAACTCGGGCTGCGCAGAAGCCCCCCACCCGCCGCCCAGCTCGCCCTGCTGGCACTTCACTGCCTTTCCCCCGTCTTCCTGCGCGCACACAGACACTATCTTCCTCTGCATGGCTTTTGCATACACTAGGTCCCCGCACGACTCAGCACCTTTGCACTTGCTGCCGTGGGCGCACCGCCCTGCGTGGTGAAACGCGCCGCGCACACGGCCTTCCAGAAGCTTCTGGTGACTGTTCCGTGACACCTGACACGGCCGGGGTCCTGCCACAGAGCCGACGTTAGGGTCCAGCTTTTACAATGCAAATTTTATTTTTGGAATAAATAACGCATTTATGTGGCTCAAAATTCACAAGATACAAAAAAGTATGTACGCCAGGCAACCGGCGTGACCCGCTGCTCCTGTGGTGAAGGCGCTGCTTCCTGCGCCGCCTGCGCCCCAGATCGCGAACCGTCCGGCCCACACCCTCCCGTCTCTACGGTTCGAGAACCGCACCATCCCCGCCACACCCAGAAAAGTCCACCTTCTCGCCCTGGAGCCGGGAACGGGCCGCCTCTGGCCGTGGTCGGTGAGCGCGGCGCTACTTCGCGAGGGGACGCGCCCGGCATGTCGGCGGTTCCCAACGAGAAACAGGCCGTGTGCAGGGTTCCCGAGGACGGGCGTCGGGGGTGCAGCTCGTGGTCGGAAGGTTTTGCCGCTGCCGGACTCCCAGGCGCTTCCCCGAGACGGTGCCGACGGGGGTCCCCACCCACCGCCCCGGGCCCTGCGGCAGCGGTGCCGGTCCATCGGCCTCTGGGGCTCTGCTCCCAGTGCGAGTAAGTGCTTGGGGGCACGTGCAACATCCCGGTCCTGGCGGTATTCTGCCTCCTAGTTTTAGGTGTGGTTTTTAATTTACAGCACTTTGACAATGGATAAACATGGCTCCCTCTGGCTTTCCCCACCACTTCCAGTGTAGAAAGGCCTGCATCCAGAAGTCCTGTACCGCTTCCCCGGGCTTGAGCTTCCTCGGTCTAGTGAGGGTTTGTGTCGTGCAAATGACTGAGCGGTGGGCTGGGGGGCGGTGGAGTCCCACTCCCATCCCCCATCTCCGACACCACCGGCATCACGCAACCTCCCCCAGGGCCTGGCCGGTCTGCCTGGCGTCCCCAGCCCTGCCGCCCAGGCCGTCGAGGGCCCCGCACAGCCCAGGGCCCCAGCTCGGGCTCCAGTACCGGGGCTGCCCGCCACCCCCCACCGATTCCTAGACTCTGAGTTTTCGCAGGGCGAAGGGCACGACCCCGGGGGGCTGTGTGTGAGCGACTAGCAGCACCCATGGGACAGACGCAATTTTAGAATTCCGCCCTGCCTGCCCCCAACAGAAAAATCCCAGTGGGGACTCTGGACGGACTGGGTTAAACCCTAACCCCCTGAGGATAAGACGGGCGTCCCCCAGGGAACCGACTCCTCCATCAGCGACATGGGACACCCTTCCTAGATTTAGATTCTGGTCTTCTTGGGTGTCTTCTGGGAAGCTTGGCCATTTCTTTAAAAACATTTTTTTAAATTGACTTTGAGAGAGAAACATTGGTTTGTTTTCCACGTACGCATTCACTGGTTGATTCCTGTATGTTCCCTGACCAGGGATCGAACTGCAACCTTGGTGCCTTGGGACGACACTCCACACAGCTGAGCTGCCCACCAGGGCGGAGCGGAGCCACGTCCCAAACCGAGGGTGACATTTCTTACTCGGTCATTCCTGGGGACACAACTGTTACGGATGTGACCTTTCTCCGAATGCTGGGTTGCAGAGGGCACGTCTGACGTTTGGTTTTGTCTCTTGGAGGCCCCGGGGTTTGAACCCAGAAGGCCGTTGGCAGCAGCCCAGCCCCCGCAGACCCCTGGGGAGAAATGGCTCTGTGCCCCGCCCCGGGAGTGACCCTGCCTGCAGGACCGCCACCTCGGGCAGACCGCGGCCCGTGTAAACGCGGCGGGTCACAGGATCACACATCCCGTGCAGTGGGTCTGGTTGGTGGGTCTCCCCAGACGGGCGGGCACACTGGCCTCCGTGAGCGCCCGCGGAGGGCGCCTCGTCGTGGCTCCGAAAAAGTCTGGGTTATCGCACTGTCTCACAGTTCAACTTCGAATTAAAACTGGCCCTGGCTGGTGTGGCTCAGTGGATTGAGCGCCGGCCTGCGAACCAAAGGGTCGCTGGTTTGATTCCCAGTCAGGGCACAGCCTAGGTCGTGGGCCAGGTTCCCGGTGAAGGGGGCACGTGACAGGCAACCACATGTTGCTGTTTCTCTCCCTCCCTTCCCCTCTCTCTAAAAATCAGTCTTTTTAAAAAAACCAGAAAGAAAACCGTACCCAGCCCTGGAGCTGACAGTGATTCGGCCACACTGAACCAGACACAGGGGCCCTGTGGGTCGGGGAAGGCTGGGTGCCGTTTGCAGCCAATGTGCCGCAGTCACCGGGAGGCCTCTGCTGTCCCCAGACTGTGAGAGGAGGGTTCTGTCCAAATGAAGCATATTGCCAAGTGTGGGATCAGCGTCTCGTCCTCACTTAGCCCCGGAAGACCCTCGTGTTCACAGCCGGCCGGTCCGTCACCGCCTTTCATCTGTGGCCTGGGGGCCTGATAACCTCGCTGAGGGAAAGAGCGGCCTCCCAAGGCTGGGCCCTGGGCGGTTACCCGGCCTGCAGCTGCTTCCACGAGGGAGGGGACTGGGGAAGCGGGCGAGGTGCGGGCACTGGGGGCCGGCCCAGGGCCGGGCGTCTGGCGGGGCTGCAGCAGGCACAGCTTCAACCTTCGGGGGGCGGTCAACCCAAGTGCCCACACGGTGCCGGGCTGCCGGTGGCAGGTCCTGTGACTGCCCACTGCGTGGAGGACAGGCAGGTGACGCCCACCATCCGGGAAGGTGCAGGCTCGGGTTAAATCAGGGGAAGGAAGGAAAGGCCTTCCACTGGCTTCAGAAAATACATCTCTTCTAAATCTGTAACATTTAATTTCTAATGAGGTATCTTATGCAGGTTTGTAATACACTAAGGGAAAAAGGCGATAATTAGCAGATTCACCTTCTAAAGGTGCCTCTGGTCTCCACTGCCCACGGGTCACACGCCATTCCACGGACAGGTCTCAGTCAGCCAGCACGGCCACGCTCCCCGACGTCGGCTTCCTGCCATCCCTGCCAGGGGGCCCCCGCACGCCCAGGCCCACGTCACCCACTGGTCTCTAGTGTGGTGGCTGAAGGGCGTTCCCCGGCGGCGAGTGTGCCCTGGCCTGGGCTTGCCGTGGCGCGCGCAGCGTGGTCCCCTCCCTGGCACGCCCGGCACCCACCTCTCAAACGTGGCCTGGGGACCCTGTGGGCGTCCGGCATGGAATGTGTACTGGGCCTGTGTCCCTCCCAGGAGGCGGTGGGCTGTCTTGGGGACACGGGCAGTGGTGGCAGAGCCCTGCCCTGGCTGACTCATGCTGCCCACGGGCAGCTCGCCACACTGTCCCACAGTGGGACTGGGCACGTCAGCGAGGGACATGTGGCTGCAGCACAGGGGCCCCTGGCGGCAGCCACAGCTGATCACAGGCGGCAGCACAGGGCTCGGGGGCGCTGCTGCTCCGGCAACAGCTGTGATCAGTTGGCTGAGGCCGCGGGTTCTGCAACAGGTTGGAAACGAACATGGATGGAAGTAAGCGTGGGCGTCCACCATGGCCGGACGTGTCTGGGCCAGCGCCGGCCGACGAGGCGTGTCCAAGAGTGAGCTATGCGGAACCTGATGTCCACCGCCCGCCTCGCCTCCTCCCTCCTGAGCGGCTCTGCCGCCGCCGGCGCCTTCAGATGACCTCCCACTCGTCCTCCAGGTCCTCGGGGTGCGCGGTGGCGGCCTGGCTGCTCTGGGCACCGTGTGAGTGGCTAAAAGTCCTTGTCAGCCTCTGGAGGAGGTGGCCGGGGGGACCCACTGCCCACAGCTCATCCGATGAGGTCACTGCAGGGACAGGGACACACACTTGTCAGTCACCCCACCTGGGGGAGGGGCACAGATGGAGCCAGGCGCCAGTCCACATCCCAACGTGGCACTTCTGGCTGTGGGGCCTGGACACAGCACCCCGACCTGTGCCTCAGTTTCCTCAGCTTTAAAGTGGGCGGTGCAGTGCCCTGCTGCCTTCCCGGGAGACCCTGACAGCCCAGGTGCCCAGTCCCCTCCCTGAGGTGTGACCTGGGGTGGGCTCCTGCAGGGAGGCTGAGCCCTGGGACAGCACCGCGGACGTGGCCCCGGGGGCCCGGCACCTGCCTGTGAGACACGTCACACTCCCAGGGACTTTCTTCCAGTAGTCTCCCGCAGGGTTTTTGTCGGTGACACCGTAGCGTCGGGCGAGGTCGCCGTTGGGGCAGCGGGCCCACACGGTCCGGCTGCTGAGCGCCAGCTGGCAGGCCAACAACCCTTTGGGCAAACAGGGCCTCTGTCTGTTCCGAGACCGGGGCGGCAACGGGACAGACCGCCCCCTCCCAAGAGCCTGCGCTCTCCGGACTCTGCGCCGGCCAGCCAGCATGCCCTGCAGTGACAGAGTCCCACCCAGGGCAGGGGACTGCAGGGGACCCCAGGGAAGGTGCCCAGCGGCAGGACTGGCACAGCTGCCGAGAGCCGGAGGCTGAAGGGCAGAGGGCACGGCCACGCGCGCTGCCTTTGAGCGCCTGCCAGGCCTGCGTGTGGTGCAGGGTCAGGCTGCACAGCCGGGGCCCCTGCAGCACTGGTGACCATTTCAACCACGAGCACCACGGTGGCTGTGTGGGAAGGGGGGAGGGAGGGGCGAGAAAAGACTGCATCACCCCGGCTGCTCGGCTTGGCAGACGAGAGCCCACCTGCCGCACCCGTGAGGGGCAGTGCGCTGTGCTCGAGCGCCTTACCTGGCACGTGCTCCCAGCCGGTCCCCACCGGCATCTCCTCGGTGACACCCACGCGGACGTGCACATTGCACCTGCTGTCCAGCGCCCACAGCATCTGGTCGTTGGGGCTGCAGTGGACGCTGACCAAGGTGAGCCCCACGGGCTGGAAGTGGGGAGAGAAGGAGTGGTGGGCGGGTTATTCTGGAAAGAGCAAGGTCAAGAGCTGTGGAGAGTGAGGTCAGAGGCGTGGGCTGAGAGGCTGCAGAAACTTTCGGCGGCTGCTGCTCGCGAGCTGCCAGCCCGCGGCCACCTGCCCACCCACGCCGCCACCATCCGTGCACCGCCCACTCGCCCACCAACAGATATCTGAGCATCTGCCCTGTGCTGAGCGTTGTGCCTGGAGTCAGCGACCCGTTTTCCTGGCTCCCGGATTTTGAAGTCTGGTGGGAGGCGGACAGGCACACACAGAAATACAGGGCGGCCACGGGCAGAGCTACAAGGGTGAACGATGCATCGAGGGCACATAACTGGGGCATCAGGTCCAGACGTCAGGAAGCTGCCTCGGATCCCACGGCTACACGGTGAACGCAGGACAGACAGGAGTGGCCAGGAGAAGAGGGAGGGGGATGAGCCAGGGCGGGCGGCACGGAACCGGGGCGGCTCCTCAGGAGGCTGCGGAGGGCCTGCGGGACCCAGGGCCCCGAGACTGGGCTGCTCAGACGGCGGTCTGGAAGGGTGCCCGAGGGCAGCGGTGGGAAACGGGACGCGGTGCAGGAGGCTCCCGGCCAGACCCAGGACTGGCTTCGGGGAGAGAAGGGAGGTGGGGTGCAAAAGACCGGGGTGGTGAGGCGGCAAAGGGCTGCACAAGCGTCACTGAGCCTCTGCCACCCTCCCCAAGGCCTGAACATGACCCAAGAAATGTCACTTCACAAATGTCAACTGGCACAAGTGACCTCACTCCAGTGGTCAGGGAGGGCAGAGCGGGGCGAAGGGCCAGCGGTCCGTGCAGGCCGCCCGATGCGAGCGCAGGCCCGCTCCTGCCGAACCCCACGTCCCTCCTGAGGAGGACCTGGCCGAGCAGTCCCCAACCTCAGGGTCCTGGGACTCTCGCTGGGCTGTCAAACGGCACGTCCCAGGGCTGGGCCCGGCCCCGCACCCCAGTGGTTCTGACTCTGCTGGCCGCCTGTGCAGAAACGACGCTGTCCCCTGTGAAGGAGCAGGCAGGGCCGACCCCACGAGGCGCACCCCCATTTCAGAGTGGTCAGGCTGAAGTCACAGCTGACCCTCACACCCGTGTGGGGCCGCAAGGGGCCCTGAGTGCCGAAACGGCCTTGAAAAAGAACGAATTCGGAAGCCTCACATTCCCTGATTTCAAAGTATTTTGAAGCTATGGTACTCGAATGGCGAGGTGCAGGACTAACGGCCGACGTGGAGGTCGGCAGAGCAGGACTGAGCGCCCAGAAATGAACCCGTCCGGTCACGTGCTGTTTGACAAGTTGCCGAGACCATTCCAGGAGCAAAGAGCAGTCTCTGTCACAAGCGGCACTGTGACAGCTGCACACCCACACGCGGAAACTGAACGAGGTGCCCTCGCCCCCTGCCATGTCCAAGGTGACCCGAGATGGGTCAAAGACAACTGTAAGGGGCAGAAGGGGCAGAAGGGGCAACGGTGTCTCAGAGGCGACACCAAAGGCATAAGCAATACAGAAAAAGCTACGCTGAACTTCATCAAAAGGAGTAACTTTCTCCCTGAAAAGTCACTGCAAAGGAGGTGCAGAGGTGCCCACGGAAAGGGGGGCACTTCCAGCCCTGCATCCAAGGAGTCTGGCTCCCCGAGTGAGTAAGGAACTTCTGAAACCCAACAACAAAAACACAGACACCCGAGTTTTCAGAAGAGCAGAGGGCTGGAAGAGCGGTCTCTCCAAAGACCCCGACGAGCACAGGAAACGGTGCCAGTCCGAGGCCACCGGGGGCGCGAATCAGAACCACGGGGCAGCACCACTCGGAGAACAGAAAGTCAGGGAGCGGATGCGGGGAAACAGGGCCCCCGCGAGTCGCTGAAGTGGATGTGGAACTGGGCGGCTGCGTGCAAAGGAGCCTGCGGGTCCCCACGTGAGAAGCAGAGGTGCCCTGGGACCAGCGACCCGGCTCCTGGGTGTACACCAGAACCGGAACAGATGTCCACGGGGACCCTGCCTGGGTGTCATAGGAGAGATGTTCTTCACAGTAGCCCAAACGGTAGCCATCTCCCAGGAGCCCCGGCAGCTGCCGCATGGGCACCCGAGTGCAGCGTACGGGCCGCAGGCACACCTCGAAGTTATGGTAGGTTTGCCCTCGGCCACCGCCAGGGAGCGACTGTGGCCATCAAGTGAGTCGCATGAACGTTTTGGGTTCCCAGTGCACGTCCAAGTTATGCTTACACCTCACTGTGGTCTCTAGCATCTCGTTACACACTGTGGTCTCAGTGTGTAATAGCATCAAAAAAGAAGAAACAAAAAAAGCTGACGTTCATACCTTAATGAAAAAATACTTTGTTGCTAAGCAGCGCTAGCATTGCTGGAGCCTCCGAGGGCTCAACCAACTGTGGAGGAGGCGGTCTGTGGACACACCTGCAGCGGCTGCAGGGCGCCCCACACCCGGGCCTGCGTGGGCTGGAGTCGTGCTGAGCAGCAGAAAGGAGTGCGGGGCTGAGCCTGGCACTGGGTGATGAGCCCCCGGAACACGGTACCACGTGACAGCGGCCGGTCTCCATTATCCAGGGATAATGGAGCCAGGGAGGGAAATCATGGGTGGGAGCCAAACGGAGGTTGCCGGGGCTGCGGGTCGTGGGGAGTGACCGCTGGGCGCCAGGCTTCCTCTGGGGGCCACGGGGATGTCCTGGAACTAGCGGCAAGGAGGGCTGAGCCACACTGTGAAGGGAGCACCACTCCCGGTAACGGGAGGCTGACCCGCCTTGTTCGTGACAGTGTCCTGCTGCTCTGCGGGACGCCGTCATTGTGGGAACTGGGTAGAGGGTGCACAGGACGTCATTTCTTGTACATAAATGGGCAATTATCTCAAAAATTTCAATTAAAAAGTCGGCAGCCTAAAGTTTTGGCTTGTTCATACTCAAAACTTCATTAAAAAAAGAAGGATGCAACTTATAAAATGAAGTAAATAAGGAATTTAAGATTTAAACATCACTTGGAGCCCTGGCTGGTGTGACTCAGTGGGCTGAGCGCTGGACTACAAAGCAAAGGGTCACTGGTTCGATTCCCGGGCAGGGCACATGCCTGGGTTGTGGGCTAGGTCCCCAGTAAGGGGTGCATGACAGGCAACCACACATTGATATTTCCCTCTCTTTCTCTCTCCTTCCCTCTAAAAATAAGTAAAATCTTTTTAAAAAATGGTAAAAAGTTACATATAGTCTGGGTGTGCTTCCAAAGACCGTGTAAGCGTGAGTGTAAGAGTGTGTGCGTGACAGTGAGTGTGCACCAGTGTAAAGGGCCCTTTCACAAGGCTTCACTGGGCGGGGGGAGGGAGCCGCCACCTGCAGAAGGACGAGGCCCAGCCACAGCCGTGGACGAGCCCGGTGCTCTCCCGTCAAAGCAGGCTCTGGGCCGTGGGGCCCCTTACGCAAGACCTCGTGGGCAAGCCGACTCACGTTCCCAAAAGACAAACGCTCGTTGCTAATTAGTACGAGCAAGGCAGACCACATCTTACCCATTCCAGGATAAACCATCACTCTTTCCCTTCGCTCAAGAGCCAGGCCAGTTTCCCAGCTGCTGCAGTGCCCGGGACTCGGCTGTCCCACTCACCTGGCAGCCCAAGGCTCCATCGAAACCCTCTCCCACCACGCACGACAGATACCTGGCGCCAGTGGTCAGACTGAGCCACCTGTGCCTGGGAACAGCCCGCCCTTTACCTGACCCACTGTCCTGGCTCACGTCCTGGAACCCTGAGGCACCTGCCCAGGACAGCAAGGGACTAACCCCTCCCCTACCCCACGACCAACACTGTGCTTAAAAAAAATTTTATTTAATTTTAGACAGAGGAGAAGGGAGGGACAAAAAGAGGGAGAGAAACATCAGTGTGTGGTTGCCTCTCATGTGCCCCCTACTGGGGACCTGGCCTGCAACCCAGGTACATGTCCTGACTGGGAATTGAACCGGTAACCATTTGGTTCATGGGCCGGCACTCAGTCCACTGAGCCACACCAGCCAGGGCCGCACTTTTTCTTTAAAAAACCCTGCTCCTGCCTCCCCCGGGGCCGCAGTCACCCGACTCGGCCACCAGCAAGCGCAACATCAAATAAAAGCACTTAGGTTGGGTCATCGGCTCCTCCTGCCTCCTACGCATGCATTTAACAACCCTGAGGAGACACAAAGTTCAAGTTAAGGGGTGAAGTTCCCACGAGATGGGCTGTTTCTGAACTTCTGGTTCCCAGGCCCTGCTGCTGTGAGCCCAGGCCGGCCGCTGCTGTCCCAGGCCCATGGTGACTGTCCTTGGGTTGGGGGACCTGTCTTAGCTTGGACACTGTGAGCTCGACAAACGGCTCCCTCGGGTTTCCCAGACGAGACAGGTCCGTTTCTGAGTTTCCGACTCTGACGTTACCGTCCAGTGCATCCCCCCAAGAATCCCAACTCCAGCCGCATGGTCCCGGGAGCGGCGGTTCTGGTAACTGCAGACGAGGGTCCTGGCCGCTGGCTGCAGGCAGGGAAAAGCCCAGCCCAGCGCCGGCCACCCCGCAGGCACGCAGGGAACTTCACCTGGGTCACTGATCTGAAGTGACGAGACAGCAGGCTCCATGAGAACAGGACTGCGCCTTGCACAGCGCATCCCGCAGGCGAGCCTGTGGATGTTGGACTCGGCCCCTCGCTGTGGGCTGCCGAGACCGGTTCGGGGCCTCCGAACTGGTGTGACCATACACGCCATCCTTCCTGGACTGCAGAATAATTTGCAGCAGGCAGGTGACTTCGGCCACAGATCCCCCCACATGCAGGGTCTCCCTGGCCCTGTGCCTCCCCACCCTCCCTGGTGGGGGGCCGGACCCCACGATACTGGGCGTGGGCTCTAAGCCCGTGGGGCTCCTCCCTGCACCCGCCGGACTCCTTGTGACTCTGCTGCCAAGACCCTCACTGCTCTGCCGGGCCCAGCCCCACGCCGCCGGTGCTGTCAGCTTTC